AAGCGCTTGCTTCGGACATTGTGGAGCAAAGCTGTTTCCATCACACTCTCCAGAAAAATCTGGTTAACACAAAGATTCTCGGCTAAAGCTAGCGCTGGACAGAATTTCTGTTCCTCTTTCATTTGTCTCAACTGGGGCTTGGGAAGCATTGATAAAATCGGGGTGTCTGAGGGGATGGGTTTAACAATACCCTTTGTCAGCTTCGTTTTCTTAACGCAAGTCTGTGTGCATTTCAGGGTGCTTCAGTGACCATTGTGACTTTAGTGAAAGAAGAGGTAGATTGTGGAGACAGGGAGACCTTAGTGTGAATCTGATTGCTTTGAATCTCAGCCTTGTCACATGAGACCAATGACCTCAGTTTTTATAGCTTCAGTTTGCTCATCCATAATGAAGGAATATTAATGTCTACTCCCAGAGGGCTAATGTTGGGGTTCAAGGAGATAACCTGTGTCAAAGAGCTGGGTCCACAGTGGGTTTCCAGGCAAGGTTATTTTTCCTTCTATTGGTGTTGGATTATTTCCTATTTCTCTGCCATATCTTCTAGTTCTACTTAGCATTACGGAGTCCCCGTGAGTTCTTGGCTTACTATCTTTCGCTTCACCCAGTTCCACATATTGGTCTCAGGGAAGTCGACATCTCCAACTCTTGTGCCATTTGGACCTTCCAGTTCCCTCACATTATAACTTCTGGCGTGCTTTCCTCCATCTCTTCACTGCCACACATTCCCATGATCATACTCAGATCACTACCAGAGGCATCAAACTCTTAGAGTCACATAATCCACTCTTTTCTTCTTTCTGTTTACCAGCTCACTGGGAGAACATTTACAAAACCAAACAGAACCTGTATAATTTAAAATAATCTCTTCCATTCCTCTTACCCTGCCCTCCCACCCCAGGTGGGAGGCTGGGAGGCAATATTATACAAATATCTACAAGATCAGGCAGGTACCTTAAATAAGGACAATGTGCTGAGTGAACTGGAGAGCAAATCTTCTACCTGAAGGGGCAGTGGCAAATCAACACTAGCTGATTATTACTCTCCATAAGTGAGAGCCCACTATAGCCAGATACTCCAAATTCTAAAGAGAAAACCGAATTCTATTTTATTTATGGGAAACATTCTTTCTTCTCCTACAAGGCTGTCTCAGCTATATTTGGATCCTCTGTAGAAAATTTAGAATCAGTCTACTAAGTTCCAGGAAACCATTTTTTTTGGATTTCAATTGGAATTGCATAGAATTTGTACAGAATTGCCATTTGATAATACTAAATTGCTGCATCTATGACCTCACTGGTTGTCTAGTTTATTTAAGTCTTATTATTTTTACAAATTGCAGTAACATTTTATAGTTTTCTTCATAAGGTCTTGCATAATTAAAAAAATTATTCTAAGGTATAATATAATTTGGTTGCTATTATAAATAATATGTTTAGAAATTACATATTTGTTATTGGTATTTAAAGGGAATACAATTGGGGCACCTGGATGGCTCAGTTGGTTAAGCGTCTGTCCTCTGCTCAGGTCATGATCCCAGACTCCTGGGATCACCCTGCATCCTGCATCAGGCTCCCTGCTTCTCCCTCTCCCTTTGTCTGCCACTCCCCCTGCTTATGCTCTCTCTCTCTCAAATAAATAAAATCTTAAAAAAAAAAATAGAGGGCATACAATTGAATTGTGTGTAGTAGCAACAATGCTGACATCTTTTAAAATTTCCAGTGGTTTTTAGAATCATTATGCTTTTCTGTGTTGGTAGTGGTATTGTCTGAGTAACAAAGGTTTTGCTCTTCCTGTTCAGATCTTAAACACTTTTTCTTGTCTTGCCTTACTGCACTAGCCAGGACCTCTCATATAACCATCATATAGTGGGCATTTTTGTTTTATTTCTGACTACAAAGAGATCTATTTGAATTTCGAAAAGATTTGACTTGTGGATTGGGTTCTGGCTCCCTCTGAAATTTTAGTAACAACAGCTTGTATCTTAAGGTTTTGTTGGTATATGTGTGGCCATTCGTTCCATCAGTTCCATTTTTCTCAGGTCAAATTTTGGAGATCTAAGATCCTATATTCTCTTTTGGTTATTTTGGCTTAGTTCTTATTGATTATCACTGCCAGCAATTTTCCCTATGAGTTGGATAAAAGACTGGACATTTATATATATTTATATATACATATAAATATATAAATATATATATTTTTTAAGATTTTATTTATTTATTTGACAGAGAGAGATCACAAGTAGGCAGAGAGGCAGGCAGAGAGAGAGAAGGAAGCAGGCTCCCTGATGAGCAGAGAGCCTGATGCAGGGCTCCATCCCAGGACCCTGAGATCATGACCTGAGCCAAGGGCAGAGGCTTTAACCCACTGAGCCACCCAGGCGCCCCTGGACATTTATATTTATTTCTCAGTGGATTTCTTTAAAAATTGTCAGCCAGAGGCGCCTGGGTGGCTCAGTGGATTAAAGCCTCTGCCTTTGGCTCAGGTCATGATCCCAGGGTCCTGGGATCGAGTCCCGCATCGGGCTCTCTGCTCAGCAGGGAGCCTGCTTCCTCCTCTCTCTGCCTGCCTCTCTGCCTACTTGTGTTCTCTGTCTGTCAAATAAATAAATAAAAATCTTTAAAAAAAATAAATAAAAATAAAAATTGTCAGCCATCCTCCTTAGCACTGTTTCAACAGTCAGACTGGCCTGTTGTGGAGATCAGGAATCAGGAGCTACAGGGACCAGGCAGAATCCCGGTAAACAAATCAGTCCAGATGGGCACTGAGGCCATCTACAGAGCGGAGCTTGACTCATTTTTGGCAAATTATTGGCATAGAAGGATATCAGAATTGGTCAGTTTGGCACCTCAGTCTAGGTTCTTATTGACAGACTTTTGGAATTGCACTTTTAAAGAATTTTATTTAAACAACTTTATTTTATTTTATTTAAACAATTTTTTTTAATTTTTAAAATTTATTTTTATTTTTTTATTTAAATAAAATATTTTATTTTATTTAAACAAATTTTTTATTTTATTTTATTTAAACAAATTTTTAAAAAGATTATATTTATTTGAGAAAGTGAGTAAGAGAGAGAGAAGAAGCTGGGGGGTGGGGCTGGGCAGCAGAGCGAGAGGGAGAAGCAGACTCTGCTGAGCAGAGAGCCTGATGTGGGGCTCAATCCCAGGACCTTGGGATCATGACCTGAGCTGAAGGCAAGCACTTAACCAGCTGTGCCACTCAGGCACCCTGCACTTTTTTTTTTTTTTTAAGATTTTATTTATCTTTAGAGAGAGAGAGAAAGTAGGCAGGGGGCAGAGGGGGACCGAGAGGAACAAGCCGACTTTGGAGCTAAGGACGGAGCCAACACAGGGCTCTATCTCATGATAGAGCTAAAACCAAGAGTCAGACACTAAATCGACTGAGCCACCCAGGCACCCTGGATTTTCACTTTTTTAAAAAAGCTAGTTAGGAGATTGTGGAGGAGGCATGATTTGAGATGGATCTTGAAAGAAGAAGCAGATTTTGGAACGCGAGACGAAAAAATCTGTGGGCCGGAATTTGGCAGGCAGGTCTCTTTGTCCTGCATGGTTGTAGTCTGGGTGTGAGAGGAAAGGTGGGTATGTGTATGTTGGGTGGTGGTAGTAAGAAGTATGATTCCAGATGTACTTTGAAGGTATTGCTGAGACTTGGATGTAGGATGAGAGGTGAATCAAAAGATGAATCAAGGGTGACTCCAGGAAGAGAGTTGCCGTTTTGAGTTGGGGGAGAGAGTTGCATGTTAGAGTTGCCTATTAGGCACCCAAAAAGAGATGTTGAGTAGGCATTTGGATGTTTGTGGCTGAAATTCAGTGGAGACACTGGAGATATGAGTATGGGAGGCACCCAGGTAGAGATGGCATCTGAAGTCACAAGGCTGGAAGGGAACTTGAATGGAGTGTGAGTGGATAGAGGAAAAGAGAGGGAGAAGAGGAAGAACAAGCAAAGGAGAAGAGAAGGTGTCAGGAAGCCATTCAAGAGAGTGGTTTCCTGGGCACCTAGTTTACAAAGTGTTTCAAGGAAGGAGTGATCTGCTCTGTCAAATGCTGCAGATAGGCCAAGTAAGATGAGGATGGAGAAGTGACTGTGCTGTTTAGCAAAGTGGAGGACATTGGTGGTGTTGGCAAGGACAGTTTTAATGGAGAGGTAGATAATGAAAGCCTGACTAAAGAGGTGGAAAGGAATGGGCAACAGCAGTCAAACCTCTCTAGGAGTTGTGCTGTAAAGTGAAGCAGAAATGGCAGGACAGCTAGATGGGAAGTGGCTACTTGTAAAATTTTTCACTAAAAATTTTTTTTAAAATTAATTTAAAAAAAGATTTTATTTGACAGAGAGAGAGAGAGATAGAGACAGCACAAGCAGGGGGAACGGCAGACAGAGGGAGAGAGAGAAGCAGGCTCCTGGCTGGGCAGGAAGTCTGATGTGGGATCAGTCCCAGGACCCTGGGATTGTGACCTGAGCAGAAGGCAGACGCTTAACCAACTGAGCCACACAAGCGCCCCTAGTCACTTTTTTTTAATAGCAGAAATTAAAATATGGTGTTACACCGATGGGAATAATACAGGGAGGGTGATAGGAGAAAACGGGAATTGCAGGGCGGTATCTTAAAAAAAAAAAAACGAGGAGGGTAGGATTCAGTGTACAGTTGTCGAAATCGGTCTTAATAGGCAGTTTATGCAGTCACAGGAGGGAGACAAAGTAAATGAGACATGAAAATGTGAGTTTACTGATCCCCACAATTTTCTTAATGAAATCGGAAGCAAAGTCATTAGGCAAGAGTAAGGATGGAGAAGAAAGTGATGGGGTTTGATGAGAAGAGAAATATGACATAATTCTTTGGGATGATGGGTGGGGCCAGCTGAAGGATAGTACTTAAAGCCTAGCTGAGCAGGCAGTGGCGAGCTCCATTTCTCCGTGAGAGATTAGTCCCTCTGGGCGCTCGGTAGTCTGCGTCCGTTTCCTTGGAGACGGAGGCGAGGGACTGGTCTTTCTGGGAAGTTTCAGTGGCCTAGGTTACCACGCGGTCCACGTTGTGACAAGAAAGTCAGAGAAGCCGAATAATAAGTATCGCAAGAGACCAGGGCTCCACGGACTCACTACTCTTCTTCCACTTTACCCAATGGCGCACGTCTTTCCCAAGTAGGTGTAAGAACCAAAGGGTGGTGGAGTGCGCATGCGTGCCCCCCTCCGCTCCGTCTCGGCCTTGTTCTCTTTTGGCCCCGCCCCCTTCCCCGCCTACATCTCCCTAGCCCCGCCTCTCCCTCGCGCTACCACAGCTCCCGCTTGCTCGCTCAGCTTCCTAGTGAACCATGGTCTCTGTGGAGACTCCACGCCTGTTTCACGTTTGCTGCTCACAGTCCCAGGGGTTGGGAATGATGGAAGTTCTTTTCCGCCCCCAACTCTTTCCAGACCCAGCCACTCTGGGATTCGCTCCACAATCTACAACTTCCAGAATCTGGTGAGTCTGGGAGGGCCAGGGAGGAGATGAGGGCTTGCTGACCCTGGGTCTGCAGTCCGCCTACCCCCATGGCCGTGACTGTCCCCGCCAATAGAATCTGGAGACCTGAATTCCAGGCTTACCTGTGTCACACATTGGCTGCAGGACCCACTATTTTCGCACCATCCTATCAGAGCATGAGGGTGTATTATACTGCTCTCTTACTCATCTCTGATGGCTCCTCTGGTTTCCTCTTGGGTCTTTTCCATGCCTTGTGTTTAGTTCTTAGCACCTCACAGCCTGGATGTGCTTAGTAAGTTATGGCTGGCTGATAAAACAAGTGATAGCTCACATTTATGGAGCACTTGCCACATGCTTTACAAATACTGCCTCTTGGAATTCTCACATCAATCTGTGGAGGTAGGTTTTATAATTAGATCTAGTTTACAGATGTGAAAATTGAGGCTTCGATCTCAGAAGTTACTTGCTCAGTGTCACAGATATCTGTAAGGGGCGACGCTGGGATTTTGACCCATTGGGCTGTGTGACTGATTGTGTTATATCTGGTAGGACTACGTTCCATGGCAGCGGTCCAAGCAGAAAACCAAGTCACCTACTCTGCCTCCCATCCTACAAACCAGAGGCCACCAGAAGAGCAAAACGAAGACTTTGACTAGCGTCCTGCCAGGTGGGCAGAGGCGCTTGAAGGTGGACATGGGAACTGGGGACAGGATAGAGTGTACGCCTTTGCCCTTTGGTGACATGAATTATATTAGAGTAGGCTAATTGCTGTTCCAAACAATCCCCAGGTTTCAGGTATTAGTACAGAAGCTTATTTCTCATTTATGTCAAAGTACATTTGCAGATCTGCGGGGATGGAAGTAATCTTTTCCACATGGTCATTCTGGGATCCAGGCTCCTTCAACCTTGTGGCTGTGACAGTTTGGAAGGCCTTGAATTCCTCTGCTAAATACTTATGCATTCAGCTGGTAGAGAGGGATGAGAGAGAGAGAGAGAGAGAGAGCGAAAATACTCTAGAGTAATTTTGTGGGCAATTTTTTTTTTCAGGGCCTAGACTTGAGGTGACACATATCACTCCCACTCCTATTCCAGTGGGCGTAACTAGTCATATGACCACCCTTAACCACAAGGGAAGATGGGAAATGTTGCCCTGCTGTGTGTCCAAAAGGAAAAGAGAGGAAAAGAAAACAGGGTTTGGTCCACTTAGGATAATCTCTGCCACATCGTTGTCATGCTATCCAGGGGAGTTCTCAGGCCCTTGACTGAGGCAGACACAGGTTTTCATCTTGACTCTGCCATTTACTATCTTGGAAAAGCCATTCTTCTCTCTGAGCTTTAGTTTTCCTGCTTGTAATATGAGGACCTGACAAGATTGTCACAGGAATGAAATGGAAAGCATTGTTGCTCTCAGCCTCATCAGACCCAACATTCCTTTCAATAACAAATACTTTATAATATTCCTTTAGTATCTGAAATGAACTTCATAGATAATATAACCTACCTATGTATATCATTTAAAAAAATATAATGCCCTAAGGTAAACAAAAAGGAAAAGGAAAGTTACTTATAGTTAAGTAACGTATATTTCAGTATGTAAGTGCCCGGGATGAGCCCTGCTGGAAGTTATGTCAAAGTAGTCAGAAGCTTACTCACAGATGTGGAGTCATGGTGAACGTAACCATTGCAAATGCAGACTGTCACGAGGTGTTATATCAGGGACTCACATAACTAGAGGGATTTTTTTTTTTTAAAGATTTTATTTATTTATTTGACAGAGATCACAAGCAGGCCCAGAGGCAGGCAGAGAGAGAGGGAGAAGCAGGCTCCCTGCCGAGCAGAGAGCCCGATGCGGGGGTCAATCCCAGGACCCTGAGATCATGACTTGAGCCGAAGGCAGAGGCTTTAACCCTCTGAGCCACCCAGGCGCCCCAGAGGGTGTTTCAATGAGGTCATGATTTCCAAAGTGGGGCCCATTTCTTGGTAAAGTTCTGAACAAAGCAAAGTACAACCTTCCCTTGATTGTAGCTATTTTCTTGGAAAATTTAGCATTACTGTAAAATCCTGCAAAATATCCTTTCTGTTTATATGTGAAAGAGAGTCAGGTTCCAGGATCAGATCATTATAAATAAGTTTTTTTTTTTTTAAAGATTTCATTTATTTATGACAGACAGACGGAGATCACAAGTAGGCACATAGGCAGGCGGGGGGGTGGGGGAAGCAGGCTCCCTGCTGAGCAGAGAGCTCGATGCGCAGCTTGATCCCAGGACCCCAAGATCATGACCCGAGCTGAAGGCAGAGGCTTAACCCACTGAGCCACTCAGGCGCCCCATAAATAAGTTTTTTTTTTTACCTACATCATTATCTGTGAGGGTTTTGAAAGTCATGCAGGACATAGGAGAATTCTGTGTTCCATGGGGCTATCCTGTTCTGGGGGATATCTAATGTCCCTGACCCTCACCGCCAGATGCCTGTTGGGACCCCCAGTATTTGAGAGAACCACAAATCCTCCATGCTAATGTATCTAAAACACCCCTGTCAAGAGTCTTTGATGTAAAGTGCTGAGCACAAGGCCCGGTGGTAGTGACAGAATTTTTGTCTTTGGCCCTAGACCCTATTCACACAGCATCTACAAGGAAACTCTTTCCTTTCCTTCATGGGGAGGCAGTGAGGTATGTAACAGATACAACCATGGTAAGAACAAGAGCACTTAACATATACCACGAGCTTAGATACTGTTCTCAGCACTTGACCCGTATCGCTTTATTTACTCTTCTCAACAACCCTGTGAGGTGGGTGCTGTTATTACCACCTCCTCTTAGAGATGAGACCTGGGTAGGTGTGACTTCAGTGGTTACATGGGTAGGAAGGGGCAGAGCCAGGCTGTGACATTTGGCAGTTTGGCTCCAAGAGGCACAAACTTCTTTTTTTTTTAAATATTTTACTTATTTATTTGACAGACAGAGATCACAAGTAGGCAGAGAGTCAGGCGGGGTTGGGGGAGCAGGTTCCCTGCTGAGCAGAAAGCTGGATGCAGGGCTCTATTCCAGGACTCTCAGATGGTGACCTGAGCTGAAGGCAGAGGCTTAACCCACTGAGCCAACCAGGTGCCTTTTTTTTTTTTTTTAAAGAGTCGGGAGAGAGGTAGGGAGAGAGGCAGAGAGAGTGAGCCTGAGCATGAGCTGTGGGGGAGGGGCAGAGGGAGAGGAAAAAGCAGACTCCCCACTGAGCAGGAAGCTGATCCAGCGCTAGGATCCCAGGACCCTGGAACATGACCTGAGCCGAAGGCAGATGCTTAATTGACTGAGCCACCCAGGTGCCCTGGGAGAGAGAGAATCTTAAGTGGTTTCCACGCCCAGCACGGAGGTTGACAGGGGGCTCCATCTCACAACCCCGAGATCACGACCTGGGCCGAAATCAGGAGTCAGACACTTAACAAATTGAGCCACCCAGACGCTCCTCCAGAATGCACAATCTTTTTATTTTTATTTTATTTTTAATTTTTTTGAGAAAGAGAGCGAGATAGCACGAGGGGTTGGAAGCAAAGGGAGAGGGAGAGAGAGAATCTTAAGCAAGCTCCATGCTCAGCATGGAGCCCGATGCAGGGTCTGATCCCATGACACCGAGACCATGACCTGAGCCAAAATCAAGAGTCAGATGCTCACCCGACTGAGCCACCCATGTGCCCCTCCAGGATGCACAATTTTAACCATGTATTAGTGGGGAGAGTATGGGCGCTGGAGAAACATGGACCTGAGTTGGTATTCCAGTTTCCCTTCTTGCTATCCTATCGAGGTTGCTTCTCACAGCCCCAGTCTGCAAGGATTCCTGCCTTTATACAAGTGAAAGCATCTGTGTAAATTATAATGATGAAAAGAGCTACTGCTTGCTCAGGACCCATGTTGTGTTGTGGAGGCATCATTCTTTCCTTCATTCATTCAGCAGCATCCGTTTGCTGAGCACCCATGTCCCCAGCAATGGGCTGAATGTTGTTGACTAATAGTAAAGGAGACAGATTGGGCTTCTAGCTGAGTAGAGTTCATGGTCCCAACCTCAAACTGTAACTACACAAGAGACAGATTGGGTTTCTAGCTGTGTAGGGTTCATGGTCCCAGTCTCAAACTGTAACTACACAAAACTTTAAAAACACTTGAGACAGATGGATAGAAGGAGGTCATCATTTCATTCATTCCTTATGACCTGGGAGATGATCTCATCACCATTTTGCAGATGAAGAAACTGAAGCTTAGGTCGGTAACATGTCTTATGCAAAGTCATGGCCTTGAGGGCAGCTTTTGTGTATTAACAAAGGTAAATCAACTGATTCCACCAAGATGGGGTAGCCCCATTCCTTCTTGGTCCTCCCCTTTACAACTAAAAAAAGCCCTGACTGAACACAGAGAATGTAGAGGACTCTGAAGACTGGCCTTCATGCTACATCTCAAGAGGGGACTGTCTGAAGTAGGATCCTGAGTATTATTTAGAACATCAAGGATACAGTAGAAATCACTTGTAATACCAAGAATAAGGAAAATCACAACATGAGTGAGAAAAGACAGACACCAACATCAAGATGAATCAGGTAGAATGATTTGACTGTTTTTATTTGCAGATGACACGCCCGTCTAGTAGAGAATCTTTAAAAATCTACTAAATTTAAGAGAAACTGGAATTAATAAGTGAGTTCATCAAGGTTGCAGAATACAAGTATATAAAAATCAATCACATTTTGGGGCGCCTGGGTGGCTCAGTGGGTTAAAGCCTCTGCCTTCGGCTCAGGTCATGATCCCAGGGTCCTGGGATTGAGCCCCGAGTCGGGCTCTCTGCTCCGCGGGGAGCCTGCTTCCTCCCCTCTCTCTCTCTGCCTGCCTCTCTGCCTACTTGTGATCTCTCTCTCTGTGTCAAATAAATAAAAATCTTTAAAAAAAAAATCAATCACATTTTAAAAACTTATTTAGAGAGCGTGAATGCAAGCTGGGGGAGGAGCAGAGGGAGAGGGAGAGAGAGAATCACAAGCAGGCTTCATGCATCCATCATGGAGCCCCATGCAGGGCTTGATCTCATGACTCTGAGATCATGACCTGAGCCAGAACCAAGAGTCAGATGCTTAACCAACTGAGCCACCCAGGTGCCCCAACCACATTTCTATGTACTAACAATGATTAAATTTAAAATTAAAAATGTATCTATAATCTAAAGAAATGAAATATTTTTAAAAGATTTTATTTGTTGGGGTGCCTGGGTGGCTCAGTCGTTACGTGTCTGCCTTTGGCTCAGTGCATGATCCCAGGGTCCTGGGATTGAGCCCCGCATCAGAATCCCTGTTTGGCGGGAAGCCTGCTTCTCTCTCTCTCACTCCCCCTGCTTGTGTTCCTTCTCTCGCTGTGTCTGTGTCAAATAAATAAATAAAATCTTTAAAAAAAAATAAGATTTTGGTTTTTTCAAGTAACCGCCACACCCAATGTGGGGCTCAAACTCACAACCCTGAGATCGAGAGTTGTATACTCTGCCGACTGAGCCAGCTGGGTGCCCCAGGAAATGAAATATTTAGATTTAAACTTAAAGCTACTATTCTATGCTGAGAATTACATAATGTTAATGAAAGAAATCAAAGAAGACCTAAATAAAAGAGACAAACTATGTTTATGATTAGAACATTAAGTATAGTAAAGATGACAGTTCTCCCCAATTTGATTTATATGTTTGATATAATTCCAGTCAAAATCCCAGCATGGTGTTTTGTAAATGGATAGGTTTATTCTAAAATTTATATAGCAAAGCAAGGCCCTGGAATAGATGAACTATTTTGAAAAAGAAGAATAATGTGGGAAGAATCACTTTACCTGATACTAAAGCATATTATTAAAGCCGAAGTATTCAAGATAGCATAATATTGGCAGAGAGATAGACACATAGATCAATGGGGCAGGCTAGAGAAACCAGAAATAGAGCCACACAAGTATACCCAGCTGATTTGGACAAGGGTGTGAAAACAGGCCAGCAGAGGAAAGGAAAGCCTTTTCCACAAATGGTGCTGGAGCACCATTTTTTAGACATCCACAGGCCAGAAAAAGAACCTTGACTTAAGTTCAAATATAAATGTAAAATGAAATAAAGATTAAACGTTAAATGCCAAACTGGAAAACTTTTAGAGGAAAACAAAAGAGAAAATTATATTTGGGCTTCATGGCCCCATGAAGAGCCCTTAGACTTTCTACCAACAGCTTGATCCATAAAATAAAAATGAAATAAATGGATAAGTTGGATGTCATCAAAATTAAACACTTATTCTGTGAAAGACTTAAGAGGATGAAAAGACAAGCTACAGACTTGGAGAAAATATTTGCAAATCACCTCTGACAAAGGACTGCTATGTGGAACATATGGAGAACTCTCAAAACTCAACAATTTCTAAGGATTGAATTGAAAGCAATTCAGTTAGGAAATGGGCAAAAGAGGAGCTACCTGGGTGTCTCAGTTGGTTAAGGGTCCTGCTCTTGATTTGGGCTCAGGTCATGATCTCAGGGTAATGGGATGGAGGCTCCATGCTCAGTGGTAGGCTGGCTGGGGATTCTCTCTCTCCCTCTCCCCCTCCCTCCCACTCACTCACTCATGCCTGTTCTCTCTCTGAAATAAATAAATAAATCTTAAGAAAAAAAAAAAAAAAAGAAAATGGGCAAAAGATATGAAGGGACGTTTCACTGAAGAGGATCTCCAGATGGTAAATAAGCACACGAAAAGATACTCAACATCATTATCCATTAGGGATATGCAAATTAAGCCATAATGTGTTTTCACTACACACCTATCAGAATGGCTAAAATGAAAAATGGTGATAACTCCAAATGCTGGCAAAGAGGAGAAACTGGATCATGCATGCATTGCTGGTGGGAATGTAAAATAGTGTAACTGCTCTGGGAAAAAGTATGACAGTTTTTCTTTTTTTTTCAGAGAGAGAGAGAGAGCGAGCATGAGGGTTGAGGGGAATGGGCGGAGGGAGAGGGAGAGAGAGCATCCAAAACTGACTCTAACACGGGGCCCTGACACGGGGCTTGATCTCATGACTCTGAGATCATGACCTGAGCTAAAATCAGGAGTCAGACACTTAACTGACTGAGCCACCCAGGTGCCACCATATGACAGTTTCTAATGAAACTAACATGCAATTCTCCTCATGCTGCAACACTTGCACTCTTGGGCATCTATTCCAGTGAAATAAAAACTTCTGGCCACACAAAAACCATTGCATGAATGCTTCGTAGCAGCCTTATTCATAATACTCCCAAACTGGAAGCAATCCATACTATGGAATACCATCCATTTATTAAAAGAAAGACCTATTGATACAGTCAATAGCTTGGATGAATCCACAGAATTTTGCTGAGCGAGAAAAACCAATCTCGGAAGTTATATACTCTATGATTCCATGTATACAGCATTCCAGGAATGACAAAATTCCAGAAATGGAGAGTAGATTAGTGATTGCCAGGGGTTCCAGACAAAGGTGGGCCGAGCATGGTCAGGGGAGGGAAGAAAATAAACGGCAGCATGAGGGACACTTGGGATAATGGAAATGTTCTATATCTTGTCCGTCTTGATGTCAGTATCATGGTTCTGATATTGTAGTTAGTTTTGCAAAATGCTACCGTTCAGAGACTGGGTTAAAGACACATAGGATTTCTCTGTAGTCTTTCTTTAAAAAAATTTTTTTTTAATTTAAATTCTAGTTAGTTAATGTACAGCGCAATAATGATTTCAGGAATAGAATTCAGTGATTCAACTCTATTATTTCTTAAAACTGCATGTACTTGAACTTATCCCAAAATAATAAGTTTAATTAAAAAAAAGATAAATCAGGGGCGCCTGGATGGCTCAGTGGGCTAAAGCCTCTGCCTTCGGCTCAGGTCATGATCCCATGGTCCTGGGATTGAGCCCCACATCCGGCTCTCTGCTCAGTAGGGGGCCTGCTTCCTCCTCTCTCTCTCTGCCTGCCTCTGCCTACCTGTGATCTCTGTCAAATAAATAAATAAAATCTTAAAAAAAAAAAGATAAATCAGGGTTACTACCACTAATGAAAATAGTCATTATTAAAGCTACAAATCTCCCTAAGAATTCAAGTTCAACTTAATAATCTTATAATTTTTATGAACACTTCTAAGGGGGATTTTGGAACTTCGTTAATTAGGTTCCCCCAATCCTCTTAAGCCACATTTTAAAATTTAATATATTCATTTTTCATTTTCAAATAGTTCACTTGTCTGATTAACAAAGACCGTTGAGCATTTGATAATTCTCGTAATCTAATAAATAAACATCAAGACATGGGTAATCTATGTTCTCTTAAAACTTTTGGTAACCTATACACATTTAATAAAAATGTCTTAAACCTTAAAACAAATCTAAATCAAAATCTCATTTAAATTAGAACCACAAGATTATTCTATTAATCATTCCGTATTTTAAACAATGCAATTAAATACCCGACATATACAGATAATTCACAACTCTAACAAAAGATTATTTTAATTTGCTTCATCACTTCAATAGTTAATAGTAAAATTTTCCAGGGTTTGCTGTATTGATTCATTAGAGAAATCATATTTTCTGAGAAGTACTGTGTTGCCCTTGGAGGGGGGTATTTTGGTGGGCATCGAGAATGTGGCCTCAGCATTCAAGATGATTTGGGTGATTTGTCTCAGGCTGATGCCTGAGAGGAATCGGGGGTTCTGAGAACATGCCCCCCAATGCCTTATGCTGATCGGAACTATTTCTATACGGTCTTTATCTGGCGGGACCACGGGTTTTATAGGTGTTTCAGTCAGGTGGGAATTTTGCACAGCTCTTGTACCTTTGTGAGGGGCTGTGGTCCTGATGCCAAGCCTCAGGTCATCAGTAATGACAGCGACAGCTAGGAATGCGTATTCCTCACTGAGTCTGTGTTGGGCACTATTCCGAACATTTGAAGGTATAGTGACATCTTATTTAATCTTCGGGACAGCCCTATGAGACAGGTGTGATGATGACTCCTGTTTTATAGGTGGGAAACACTGAGGGACAGAGAGGTCAGTCTACCCACCCAAGCTCACATGGCCAGTAGAAAGTGGAGCTTGCATTGGAACCCAGGCTGTCTGGCTCATTAGTTCTTGCCCTTAACCCCTGCTGCATCTGACCTTGCTACCTGCCAGGTTGGTGGGAGAGACTGTGGGCACCTGGCCAGCTTCTGTTGCTTCCCCTCTCCTCCCCTCTGTCCATCCCCATAGTCATGTGGAAGTCCCCTGTGCAGAGTGGGGCCTGGGAGCTGATTGACAGATGTGAGTCCCATGCTCTGCCTCACTGTCACATATTAAAAGGTCAAGAGTGGACGGGGCTGGTGCCCAGGGCCATCTCCTAGATGGTGCCTTCCCTGGGACTCGCCCCCAGGCCTGCCTGTACCCTCACTCCGTCTCTGCTCTTTCCCATGCCCTAGGGTTGCATTCCAAGCCCACCACGTCTATGACAAGCCAACTGAGGAATCCACAAGAAAAGCATAGAGGGAGGTTGGACTCCGGGAAGACACAGAAGAAAATGCGGCTTTTGAGGGTATGAGCAGCCTCCCCATAGGCATTGGAGCCCGTGGTAGGGACAGAGGGTCAGGGGGAAGGTGATTGCAAACACGCACAGGCCATTTTGCGGTGCCGCACTTGACTCATTTCCTTTTCAGCAGTGCCATGGGCATGCTTATCATCACCCCCATTTTACAGATGGGAAACTGAGGTGCAGGGAGATCACGGACTCGTACCAGGCCGCATGGCTAGAAAAATGACAGTACCAGGGATCAAAGCCGGTTAAGCAAGGTGTTTGCCTTTGTGTTGAAGACTAGGAAGATGATCAGAATCGCTCTTCTGTTTCGCTGCATTAGGAACACAGTCTGGTGGCTTGCTCGTTTAAAAATTTCCAGTAAATTAACCTTTCATGGAATACAGCGCAGCTCAGCACAGCTCAGAAGCTCACTATTACATTTTTCCCATCATCTGATACAGCTTGAGATAATTAGTGTTCTCACCATCTATTGCTTTTTTATGGCTTCTGAACAATGTTTTAAAGTATTTGAAATGACTAAAAGAGGAGGAGTCTTTTGTGTCCTTAGCAGAAAGTAGAATACTAAATACTATAAATGCTACAAAATACTGGCAAAGAATTCGTACTTTCTTCAAGAAAGTTTTTAAGAGCTCAGTGAACAATGACTACTATATAAAGAAATAGGGAAGAATATATTTGCTTTGAAACCTTTTCTTCCCTTTAACCTTTAATTTTGCAGAATGGTTCAGAGGCAGCCCAGTGTTCTTAAAGGAGAAAGTCCTATTTCTGTTGTTATTTTTATCCTGACTTTACAACTTGGACAATTTGGCTCTGAAGCCTGGGCTCCCAACCAGTTCCTAATGTTGTCTCTTGTGATTATTCATTCATTTAATTGATTTATCGAATGTCTACTATGTGCCAGGCCCTGGCACATAGTATCTAAGTGCGGAGATTCACCAGTGATATGGCCTCTGACCTTAGGGAGCTCACATTCAACTTTGAGAGACAGATAATAAACAAGACAAATAAGTATATAACATGTGCCACGAAATGAATAATGTAAAGCAATGTAGAGCAATGACGTATAAAGGTAAGGTCAGGAAGAGTGGCCATGACCATCTGAGACAGAGTGGTCAGAGAGGCTGCTTAAATGGTGACATCTGAGGAAAGAATATTCCAGACATAGGAACCGCAAGTGCAAAGGTCCTGAGGTTGATGTGGCTAGAGCAGGTGATGAAGGAAACCTGGTGGGTGTGAGGGTATGGGTGATGACTTATTTGCAACTCTGTAGTCCATGATTAGGCTTTGTGTTTCTATGCTGAGCAAGACAGGAAGACCCTGGAGGATTCTGAGTAGAGCAGAGACATGATATGACCTAAGTTTTCACAGGAGTCCTTGGGCTGCTGCTGCTGCTGTGTGGAGAATGGACCATGGAGACAAGGGGGAAACAAGAAGGGAGCAGAAATTACTCTGTTGATTTGCTCTCAGAAACGGAACAGGATCCTGACTCTGCCCCTCAATCTCCAGACAGTTAATTTGTTCAATCTACAACTCTTGAGAGAGTGCCTCCTATATGCCGGGCACCATGCCAGGTATTGGGGACACAGCTGTGAACATAGCACTCAGAATCTGTGTGCTTATGGAGCTTACACTATAATGGGGAGACATATAATAAATGAATTTAAAAAACCCAAAGAATAGTTTATAGTCATCAGTTTATTCAGCCCACACTTAGGGAGCTCCAGGCACCATCCTATGTGCTGTGTCCTACAGCTGTGATGGAACAGCCAGTTACCCCCTCGCCCCCACCCTCCTGGCTGTGCCTTTTGAGTGGGAGAGACAGTTACAAAATAAGAAAAATAAGAAAATAAGATAATAAGAAAAACATATAATCCCAACTGGGGTTAAGGGGCAGGAAGGAAACAAAGTAGGGTTTCTGCACTAAATCTTGTGCTCAGGGATGATCCATTTCTAGAGCAGAGGTCATTAATTATATAGCTTCTCCAAATCCCCTGGGAATGGGGTCTGTGCTAAGGATACACATTCATTTTCTTTTCTTTCTTTTTTTTTTTTCTTTTAAGATTTTATTTATTTATTTGACAGACACAGTGAGAGAGGGAACACAAGCAGGGGGGAGTGGGAGAGGGAGAAACAGGCTTCCTATGGAGCAGGGAGCCTGATGGGGGGCTCCATCCCAGGACCCCAGCGTCATGACCTGAGCTGAAGGCAGACGCTTAATGACTGAGCCACCCAGGCACACCAACGATACTCATTCCTAATGCCAGTCCCCGCGATGTCTGCTGGGTGGGCTTCTGTGAAACGGGGCTGAGATTGGTGCCAAGTGAGGTCGTGCGTGTGACCTGCTGAGCAGAGTGTCAGGCCCATCCATAATAAACAGTCTGTATGTTTGCAGGGTTACTCATTATTATATGAGGAATGTGGGAGTTGGGGGCCAGGAAAGGGTAGCTTCTCATGAAGGACAGAGAAACAAGGAAGAACAGGAATAAGACAGAGAGTGCAAAGGTGCAGCAGACCTGGAGACCTAGAGCCTGTGGGCACGGTTATCAGCTCCACCTCCTGTGACACCCTGAGGGTGCCAGGCGCAGCCACTCGGTGTCTTGACTGTGAACATTATCTCATTTGTTTTTCCCAGCAGCACTCCGAAGTGAGTGCTAGTTTCCTAACCTTTAGAATGAGTACAGCAGGGACGCCTGGGTGGCTCAGTGGGTTAATAAGCACCTGCCTTCAGCTCAGCTCATGATTTCAAGGTCCTGGGATTGAGTCCTGCTCCGGCCCCTTGCTCAGCGGGGAGCCTGCTTCTCTCTCTGCCTGTTGCTCTCCCTACCTTTGCGTGCTCTCTCTCTATAAATACACTCTGAAAAAAAAAATAGAATGAGGATAGCAGGATTCTGGGGGGTGGTTAACTCTTTTGCCCATGTTCCCTGAGGGAGTAAGTGGCAGAATTGGTATTTGAACCGAGTGAGTCCAGGCCTAACATCCAAATCTGCGTACACTACAAGGCTCAACCATGCCTTGCGCTTTGAGGCTGCTCACTTCCTTCTCTTGGTGTGGTGGCGAGCCAGACATCGGGAGTCAAGAGTCCGGCTTCCCAGTTCCGGTGCCATGACCTTCTGGCTGTGTGACTTTAGGCAAGTCACTTAACCTATCTGAGCCTCCTTTTATCAGTAAAAGAAGAGTCAGTAAACAGGGCCTTTGAATGAACCAATATCACCTCTGAGTGCCCAGTGAAGCCCAGTGCCCAACACATAGTTGTTATTATTGTAGCTTTTGTGTACCTGCTGGAGGTGATCTGAGCAAACCCCTCAGGCTTTCAGCGCCTCCTTGTTTCTGCGGGGAAATGTGGGCAATGAGAGAGTGAGTACTCATTTAGCTCAGCCGTCTGATGAACATCGGTAGCGACTATCATCCACTTGGCTTCCCCGCTTTTCCAGACCTGGCCCATCACTTCCGCCCCTTTCTTACCTACCTGAGGTGTTTTCGATTTTTATTACTACTGTTACTACTATATTTTATTGATTCTAAGAAGCCATTGGTAATAAGGTGCAGCTTTATCTTATTTCCCACGAACAAATTTTGTCAGATCGTGACATGCCACTCCTTGTAAGAGGCGTTCACCTCTGAGATGTAAAGATCAGGGAAAATGGGCGTTTCAGAATGGATGAAAGAGTTGGTGGGGGGGCGGACTTTGTCCCGCAGACAATGGGGCCGCATTTACCAGTCGAGACCACAAGGGGGCGGGCGTGCGGCGGGAGGGAAGTGGTCCCTAGGCTCCGGGAGGCTCCGGCCGCCACGCGCAGCACCGCCTCCCATCCTTGCCCTCCCCTCCGCCTGCAGGCGTTGCTCAGGAACAGGCAAACCACGCTGCAGGAGCTCTCCAGCCATGAGGTCTTTCTCACCAAGCTCAACCTGGAGCTGATCAAGGACATCCAGGACATGGAAGACAGCTCGGCCCTGAAAGTGCGCACGATGCTGCAGGAGCAGGACATCCTCCAGGTGAGGTCCCACCCCCACCTTCCCCAGCCTTGGCCTCCGCCCCCTGCACCTCGGTCCTGCCCGCGGCGCCGCCCCCTTGGGCCCTCGGGCGCCCTCTCCTGGCCTCTCCAGGAGGCCAAGCTGCACAAGCTGCTTCCTTCCTCTGGAAAATGAATCTCTCCCACTCTTCGCCCCACCTAGCTGGGGTTTGGAACCAGACCAAGATGGGGGTTCTCATTCCAACGCTAGCATTTATTAGCTGGGAGACTTCGAGTTAACCTCTGAGCTCTGTAAAATAGAGCACAAAGCACCTACCCTAAAGGGGGTGTTGTACTTGGCACACAACAGGTGTAGCTATGCCGACCACTCCCATCCCTACTCACACAGGGTTGTACATATCCATATAATCCTTACCACAACCCCGTGGGGTGGGCATTATTATCTTTATTTTACATAGGAAAAAATGGAAACAGAGGGGTCGGGTGATTTACTCAAGGTCACCTTCAAGCTCACTCACCTAGCAAGGGTCGGCACTTGACTTGAACACAGCACATCTGGCACCAGGATCTGGCTTCCTTCCCGCGAGCTGTGATTGTCACCCTCAGCCATTGGTGGTGCTTATGGTCTGGGCCGGGGGAGCAACTTTTAGGAGAACCCGGGTGGCATCCTCTGCCTCCTCTGGGAGAGGCTTGGGAAAGCTGCTGGAGGAGAGTGCAAAGTTCACAGGGGACCCAGGAGCTTGGGCTGGAGAGGAGGTGGAGGAAATGGTCTCATGGAGCAGTAATGCCCTCTGGCTGCGGTCTGCCCAGGGAGAAGAGGGACTGAGCTCACCAGAGCCTGGGAGATGAAGAGAAAACTCGGTGTTGGGGACTTAGTTTGCTCAGGTGGCCTTACCAAAGCACCAGAGACCAGGTGGCTTACACAGAGAAATTTCTCATAGTTCTGGATGCCGGAAGTCCAAGATCAAGGCACTGGCAAGTCCAAGATCAATGTCCAGTGAGGAGGCCTCTGTCCTTGGGGATACAGATAGCTGCCTTCTCTTTGGGTCCTCACGTGGCCTTTTCTCTGTGCTCACATGGAGAGGCTCTGGAGTCTCTTCCTCTTTTTATAAGTACACTGCTCTTATTGGATTCTGCACCCTTTAGACCTCATTTAACCTTTTACCTCCTTAAAGGCCCTGTCTGCACACACAGCCCTATTGGGGGTTAGGGCTTCAACATATGCGTTTGAGGGGTACACAGTTCAGTCTATCACACAGGCCAAGGACTGCAGAGTCATTCAGCCCAAGGGAACTTAGAATATTCTCCAAATTTAGATAAAGTCATTGTTGATCTTCTGGCATTGATCCATTAGTATATTTTTTTGTTCATCCTGAGTGCTCCCTGTGGGCTCTTGGGAAACAGGGATCAGTGGGACACGTTATCTACATCAAGCTGTCATTCTAGTGGGGTCCAGGCAGTTAGAAAGCCATTTGTGTACTGTCGTGGGGACAGGGGTTCTGGGGAGCTGAGAGGGGCCTCTCACCCAGACATGGGAGGTCAGGAAGGCTTCCTGAAGAAGGTGATGCTTATGTTGAAACCTGCAGAAGTAGGTGTTACCTGGTAGAGAGCAAGAAAGTGTTCCAGGCAGAGGAACTGGGTGCAGAAGGCCTGTGGAGAGAGGGGGCATGGCCAACTCAAGGGGCCACATGTTGGCCTAGGCCAGCGCAGGCAGGGCCTTGTCAGCCAAGGTTAGGAGTTCAGACCATATTTATAGGACAGAGGGGAGCCCCTGGAGGGTTTTAAATAGGAGAGGGATGAGGTCAGCTTTTAAAAAAAAATTTTTTTTTATTTTTAAAGAAAGATCATCCTGACTGCGGCATGGAGCAAAGATCAGAGGAGGACCAGTTAGGGGTACCTGTGGTACTATTTGAGGCAGGAGATGAAGAGAACTTGAATAAGACAGTGGCAGTGGGGGTGGAGAGAAGGACATAGTTGTGAGGGCTGTTGAGGGTTAAATCCATTGCGCTTGGTGACATTTTGAAGGAGGACGGAGCGGGGACCGCTGCGTGGGTTTGGGCCGGTGCCTGGGTGTGCGGTAGAGCCCCCCGGCTGGGGTGGATGGTAGGAGAGGGCCCAGTTTGGAGGGGCTGGGCTGGCCTCCGATCAGGTTGCTGGATCTGGGACTGGGTTTGGATCTGGGGACTCCCTGGAGGAAATGCCGAGTCCCCTGAGGGGGGACCAGGCTTCGGTAGCGCCAGAAGAGGTGGTGGGGCGAGCTGACCCCGCCACTCCCACAGACTATCGTGGACATCTTGGAGTACTCGAACAAGAAGAAGCTGCAGCAGCTCAAGTGTGAACTTAAGGAGTGGGAGGAGAAGGAGGAGTCCAAGATGAAGTGTAAGTATCCCTGGCATGAATTCCTTGATCCTCTCCCTGGCTTTGGGGAGGTCAGCAGGGCCTTCATCTTGCACCTACCTTTTGGAAGACAGTAGGCCCAGCATCCCCCCTCTTAGGCACATGGAATTGCTAAGATGCAGAGCTAACAGCTTACTTCTGGAGCATTGAGGCCTGAGCACTTCAGGCCCCCCCAAGGGTTCGTATGTACGGGCACACTCTCAGTCATGGCAACTACCCGTGAGGCACGAACTGTTCGCCCATTTTACAGATGAGAAAGCTGAAGCTAAAAGAAGTACGGTAGCGTGCCGTAGATCATAACAGCTGCGAGCCAGGATCCAGCCCCAGCCTGCCTCTGCTTCCTGCCGTCTCTCTGGGAGTCAGTGGCACAGCCAGGTCCCAGGTCTCTGGCTTCCATAGCGCTGACCTTGAGCTTGAGCTTGTGCTTTCTTTCTGGAGCAGACTGGGAGCCCTCTGGCGAGGGTGGTGTGTCAGCCAACCTCAGAACCTGGGGCCACCCCCTTGGAGGGCATCAGTACAGACATGGTCTGTTTTTTTTTTTTTTTAAAGATTTTATTTATTTATTTGACAGTCAGAGATCACAAGTAGGCAGAGAGGCAGGCAGAGAGAGAGGAAGGGAAGCAGGCTCCCCACTGAGCAGAGAGCCCGATGCGGGGCTATGTCCCAGGACCCTGGGATCATGACCTGAGCCGAAGGCAGAGGCTTTAACCCACTGAGCCACCCAGACGCCCCCAGACATGGTCTTAATGGTCATTTCACGGGAGTCAGTGTCACCCTATCTCCCTGGGCTTGTTGCGGGGGAGCTTGTGCAGGAGGAGACGGAGGTCCAAGGAGGGACAGTCTTGGCGAGTGCCACAGAGTAAGTCAGCGGCAGAACTGGGACTTACCTAGGGATCTTGCCCCAGTTTAGTTCTCTTTCCTACCCAGTGTTGCCTCTTCTCCTTCGGGGGTAAAAGACTCTAGGGACTTAGCCTTGTGGGAGCTTGCTTCCACCAGACCCCAGTCCATTGGCCAAGGAGAGCTTTGCCTCCTGGATCTCCTGGGAGGGGTCCTTGAGAGAGGCTTTTGCCTCCTGTCCCTCCTGCCCTCTGCAGCCCTGGCGCAGCAGGTAGAGCAGCTGAATGCCAAGATTGAGAAGACCTCCAAGGAAGTGAGCTTCCTGAGCACGTACATGGACCATGAGTATCCTGTCAAGTCGGTCCAGATCGCCAGCCTTGTGCGTCAACTGCAGCAGATAAAGGACAACCAGCAGGTAGGGGAGCCCCTGGCCCCGCCCTGCCGGACCACACTGGAGGCGGGGCCGTGGCCCACACCTTTCCACTGGCCCCTAGGATGAGCTGGATGACCTTGGTGAGATGCGCAGAATGGTCCTGCAGTCTTTGTCTAATCAGATTCAGAAGAAGAAGAAAAAGCTTCTGCAAGCTCTGGTGGTGGTGAGTGGCCAGCTGTGGCAGTGGCTGTGTAGGTCCTGCCCCAGCCCTGCTTCCTTTCCTGTCCTCTGCCTCCAGGCTCCCTGCATTCGCCCCCACCCCCAACTGGAATCTACCAGGTCCTGCTGCCCCGGAAGAGGCACCTGGGGGCTAGACCTCCTCTCCCTCCACAGAAAAGCCAGCAGCCCCATCAGGAAGCTCTTCTGCAGAAGACCCGGGACAACCAGGACATGCTGAAGTACATGGACAAGTTCCGAGAAGTGAGTGGGCACGGAAGGGGATGACCCCTCTGCGAGGGAGCAGAAGGGTGATTGGGCTCCAGGACTTCTGAGAGTCAGGCTTGTCCTGATCTGGTGCTCAGGAGGCCTCTGGCTCCGGTGTCAGCCTCTCATCCAGCTAGCACCATTGCTGTCCCTTGTCATTCCTCTGACAAGGAGGTTAGTGCAGGCCCAGGCCTTGCCTCCCTAACCAGCATCACCGGCGATGACCCACTAGCAACATCACCAAGCATCCTGTGCTCACCCATCATTTTACTGTCATAACCCCCTCCTATCTTCACCACTTAATTCTCGCCACTGACCATCACTCATTAGCCATGTTAATGAACTTCACCATCACTGCCCCTCACCCCACATTCATTTTCATTATCATCCTCCATCTGCTGTCAGCATGAGTGGTCTTCATTGTATCTGCCAGCCCCCATTCGTTCTCATCACTGGGTACTGCCCCCCTCCCCCACCTTTGCCACCTATCTCCATGCTCCATGACCTCCGCGCCACATTCAGGACCATCAGACATTGGCCCTTACTTGCGAGCAGCCCTCCGGAGTCCAGGAGGCCCCTGTGGCCAAGCGTGCAATTTCCCTAGATGGCCTTCCTCCTCATTTGGGTGGCCCCGTTCTTCCTTCTTGGGGGACGTCGGGCTCCTCACTCTCCCCTGCTGTGCTTCTCCCCTCAGTTTATCAACCAGTTTGAGGAGGAAATACCCATACTGAAGGCCGAGTTGGAGCAGCTCCAGGTGCAGGTCCAGGAGCCCCGAGAGATCGTATTTGCAGATGTTCTGCTTCGGAGACCCAAGTACGGGATCTTTTTTTTGCAGCAGCTGCTTAAACCCACCCTGCTGGGCCCTCGAAGAGGCTCTCTGTCCCCAGGAAAGGCAGTCTGGTGGAGAAGGCAGACCCCTGCGATAGAGGGTGCAGGGCGACCCGGATCTCCTTGGCTCTGCTGCTAACCACGCAGATGTGACCTTTCCTGTCTCTGGGCCTTCATGTCTCATTTGTACGCAGGAAGCTGGGTTACATAAGCTTTGTGGACTCTTCAGGTTCTCAGATTCCATGTTTCCTCCAAGTGGGTGTACCCCTAAGCTCCCAGGGTGTTCAGGAAGGTGGAGTTGAGTAGGGTGTTTGGTTCCAGGGAAGACGGGCCACTCTGTGAGGAGAGAAGGATGTCCTCTCCACCTGGCAGACTCCCGGGCCCCAGAGGAAGAACTTCCTTCCTTCCAAAGCCAGTTCTCTGCCCACCTTTCTTGGGTCAGGCCCTTTGTGGCAGAGCCTGGGGATCCCATGAGGCCAGGCCTCATGTGATTGTTCACAGGACCTGGGGCACCTCGTGCAGAGCCCTCAGGTTGATGATTGAACTCAGAAGACTGATACCGGCTACAGATGGAGATTTCGGCATTGTCAGTATAAAGATGATTTTTCTTTTTTGCCATTATTTTGGGAAATTTCAAATATGCAGACAGTAGAGAGAATGTTCTGGTGAACACTCAGTTGCCCGTGTAGATTAGGAGTTGTTCTATTTTTGTCATATGGGTTCATCTTCATTCCTTCGCTTTTTCTCGTGAAATACCGTCAATTGCAGACATCCTGACATTTCGTGCCTGAATAGCTAGCTCAGTGTGGGTCAGGAGAGTATGGAAGCCACGAGAATGGATGAGAGAATTGGGACGAGGTTGGAGGCAGGATGTAATTGTCTGGCCCCCTAAATGTGCTGGTCCCTGTGATGGATGCTATTCTCACTCCTTGTATGGAAAGAAGGACGCCTGTCAGTGATGGAGTTTTGTCCACCTGCCAAAGATCGAGGTTGGAATTATTCCCCCCGTTTGAGCAATGAGGAAACTGAGGCCGCTCTGGGCTTGGGCACATAGTGAGTGCTTGTCACATACATGCCAACCGAAGGAGTGGGGCTCTGGGGGAAGTCGGAAGCTCAAGATGACACACAGCCAGGTGTCCAAGCCGGCCATTCTGACCACAAAGAGAGTGCTGGGCATGAGAGGCCGCGCATTTCAGAGCCTGCTCCCTCTTGACCCCAGACCTCTGGAGAGGATCATTCATTATGCCAGACCCACTCCTCTTTTATTTTTGGTGTGTGCACACATCTCCACGTGTACACGTGGGCTGCACAGTCACTGGTGTTTTGGGATGGGGCTCCCCAACTGAGTACCAGTGTTTCGAAGAGCTGGGTGCCCCCGAGGGTGTGCTCTCCCACTCTTCAACTCTGGCTCCCCTGCCTGACCTCCCGTACCCTCTTTGTTCTTCCCTACCAGGTGCACCCCAGACATGGACGTCATCCTCAACATCCCCGTGGAAGAGCTGCTGCCCTTCTAGATGCCGGGTCCAGGGGCCAGCCTTTCCTCCCTGCTCTTTTTCCTATACCTGGAGCCTTGACTTATCTTCTTCTCTGAGCGCATGCCCACTTTCAGAGCCTGGTCTCCTCTTCCTCCCTTCCTTCCTTCCCCGCCTCCCTTTCTCTCTCTTTTCCTTCCTTCTTTCCTTCCATCCTTCCTTTCTTCCTTCCTCCCTCCCCGTCTCCCTCCACCTTTCCTCTTTTCTTTCTGGTTGGCGCTGCTGCTTGGGCCAGGTGGGTACTCCCAGTCAAGTCTGCCATTCCTTTTTACCAATAAAGCTGGATTTGCATTTGCTCTTTTGCTTGGAGATTTCCAGCTAGGCCTTGAGTAGATGTGGTAGGAATGGACTATGGTCTTAAGATAAGGGGTGGTTAGGGTGCCTGAGTGGCTCAGTTGCTTAAGCGTCTACCGTCGGCTTGGGTCATGTTCCCAGGGTCCTGGGATTGAGTCTCTGCATCGGGCTTTCTGCTCGGTGGGCAGCCTGCTTCTCCCTCTGCCTCTCTCTCTCTGTGTCTCTCATGAATAAATAAAATCTTAAAAAAAAAAAAGATAGGGGGGGGCTAACTGTGCTGATTGTGTCTGGGGCACAGGACTTCTCGAGAAGAGCCGAGTGAGCCCCTCTCTGAACTGGCTCTGGGCTGCGCTGTCCCTGGTGCGATGGAAGCCTAGCTTCCCTCCTAATTTGTGCTCAGACCTGTTGAGGCCAGTGCCAGGGCAGAGGGGCGACTCCCCAAGTTGGTGCCCCTGGGAACTTGCCGGGTTTTCCTCGCTGATGGCCATCTCTCTTCTGGTCCAGCTGTCTGTCTGTCCAGTGCCTGCACCCCAGCCGTGCGTGGACGTGAACACACGCTCGTACTCAGGCGGAGTTAGGCGCAGCCCCCCACTCTGTGCTGACTTGGAGCTGTGCTGCCTGGCCCCCCCTTCAAGCAAGGACAGCTGCTGCAGTCCCTGGGAGTGCCGTGGGAATGTGTCCTTCGGCCGTCAGACCCTTCAGGGTTTGCTTCGGCTGCAGAGAGCCCCCTCACCCAAGATCAGTCCCCTCCCACGTCCAGTGACTGCTCTGTGTGCAAATGCCAACGGCTAAGCCATCCTGGCCTCAACTGGGATGACTCTGAAGACCTCTTCTGGCTCCGGCATTCCCTGTCGGGTTGGCTGAAGCTGTCCCTGGGCCTGCATGACCGCTCATTTCTTCCTCTGCCGAGTCCTGCCTGTTTCTCCCTCCCTGGATTCCCAGGGACTCAGTAATTGACACTCTGTGCTTTGCACTTGGCCTCAGAGCCGCTTCCCCAGGGACCCAGGCTCCTGCAAGGCCTCAGACGCTCTGACTACTCACCCATCCACCTGGCGTCCGGAGAGACTCACAGGTTACAGGACACCTGACCAAATTGCCCTACACAAAAAAGGGATCAGGGAAATCAGTGTTCTAGGTGAGGCACGGGTCTCTCCAGAAATCAAGTGACAGCACCAAGGACCTGGTTTCTGTTTCTTTACTTTGTTCCAAGGTGTTCTCTTCCCGAGGCTGGGCCTCCTGTGGTCGTGGTGTGTTTCCCAGCTTCTCCTGGGGGGTTGTACCTCCTGGTTTGGGTACTGCTGGAAAGAGGGTCTCTGTCCCAGAATTTTCAGCCCAAGTCTTCATATTCAGTGTGACGGGCCTGGCTTATATCTCCTAGCCACCTTGAGCTAGTCCAGGCACTGGAGAGCGCCTCCTAGTTTGGTCTACGTCACATGCAATACCCTGGGAGCAGGATCAAGGTGGCTGGGGTGAAGCACGTGACCTAGGTTAAGCCAGTAGGCACCTTTAGAGCCGAATGGATTGCGAAACAGAAATGGACAATTTTTTTTAAACGATTTTATTTATTTATTTGACAGAGATCACAAGTAGGCAGAGAGGCAGGTAGAGAGAGGGGGTGAAGCAGGCTCCCAGTGGAACAGAGAGCCCGATGTGGGGCTTGATCCCAGGACCCTGGGATCATGACCTGAGCCGAAGGCAGAGGCTTTAACCCACTAAGCCACCTAGGCTCCCTGAAATGGACAATTAAAAAAAAATTTATTATTTCTAAGTTATATTTTAAATTTTTAAAAAAATTATTATTATTTTTAAAGATTTTATTTATTTATTTGACAGATAGAGATCACAAGTAGGCAGAGAGGCAGGTAGAGAGAGGGGGTGAAGCAGGCTCCCAGCAGAACAGAGAGCCTGATGTGGGGCTTGATCCCAGGACCCTGGGATCATGACCTGAGCCGAAGGCAGAGGCTTTAACCCACTGAGCCACCCAGGCGCCCCTAAAAAAATTTTTATTTTGTTTAGAAAGGGAGGGGCAGGGGGCAGAAGGAGAGGGAGAGAGAGAATCTTAAGCAGGGTCCTTGCCCAGCATGGAGCCTGATGTGGGGCTCCATCTCACGACCCTGAGATCCTGACCTGAGCTGAAATCAAGAGTCGGATGCTTAACTGACAGAGTCACTCAGGTGCCCCTAAAGATTTTATTTTTAAGTAATTTTCACACCCAGCGTGGTGCTCGAATCTGTAGCCCTGAGATCAAGAGTCACATTGATGGAGCCAGCCAGCACCCCAGAAATGAACAGTTTTGAACATAATAGGAGCAAACACTTAGCTAGCACTTAGGACCCTATGCTTTTCTTATAGTCAGTCAGTCCTCACAAGGTCAACCCTCTGAGGTAGGGATCATAAGCATTTCCATCTTACAGATGAACCCAGTCCGTGAAGCAGCAAAGTGATTTTCCGAAGTCACCAGGCATAAGGTAGTTTACTTTTTTTTTTAAAAGTTTTTATTTATTTATTTGACAGAGAGAGCGAGCACAATCAGGGGGAGCGGGAGGAGAAGCAAGCTCTCTGTGGAGCAGGAAGCCAGCCCCATGCAGGGCTTGATCCCAGGACCCTGAGATCATGACCTGAGCTGAAGGCAGCTGCTTAACCGACTGAGCCACCCAGGCGCCCCGAGGTAGTTTACTCTTAAGCACTGTACTGTCAGGAGCTCAGCTGAGCTGGAGAGCTGAGCCGCCAGGGGCCAGAGCAGCCAGTTAAGACAATTCAAAACTAAAGTGACAGTCAGGCCTTCCATTGCTTACTTCGCGCAAAGAAGAGGCTAAACTAGAGAAAGTGCCATGGTCCATTCCATGTTCCCTATGGAATGGGACCCATGGTCAGGGGGATGAGTCCCTGGGGCTGGTCTCACTGCTGGGGGAGCCCCGAACAAAAGTCTTCTGCAGTTTTGTGACTCTGGGGACCCCCCATGGGGGGTTGGGTGGGGAAGGGAGAATGGGCAGGGCTGGGAGAAGGAAAGTGTCTGCAGGGTTCCCCCTCCCCCTGCCAGGCAGGTCTTGGCAGAGGCTCTGGAGGAGGGCACTGGGGGCTGAGTCCTTCGCTGCCTCCCCCCCACTCTGAGACTGCCGGGCACTGACCGGGCACCCAGGCTGGGGCGCGGAGTGTAGTTTCCTGGGAGGACTGCCAGGGAAAGCCTTCGTCATGGCCTATGGTTGGACCTAAAAAATCACATAGGTTTTTAGCCAGGAGCTTGACACCTTATAGCGATGGAACAAATGAATTCTGGCAAGGAAAACCAAGTAAGAAAGTCTGAACAAACAGATTCCCTGACATCACATGCAGCCCTCAGGCCTCCAGGTGTGACAGAGAGTAGCCCACACGTGTGCACGCTGTACACGGATCTCCCCCACTTACCAGGGCTGCACGTGGGTCGGTCCTCGTGTGCACAGGGATGCCTCCATGCACGTGCACGTGCAGACACACACCGGATTGGCCTAATTCATAGAAGGAGGACCCTTGTTACATGACTACTTAGGAATTCTACGTCCTGGTCAGCTTTCTCTCCAGTCATACTGCTGCATGAGAAACAACGGCAAAACTCGGTGGATGGCAGCAAGAAGAACTCTTTTACTCCGTGTCTTTGGGTCAACTGTTACCTTTGGCTGGCCTTGGCTGGCTTGGTGGGGTGGCTCTGCTTCTGGCTGCAGGTCATCTGGGCTGGGTTTCAGACTGTGGGTTAGGCTTAGGGGTGCTCCTAGGCTCTGGGGTGACTTGGGTGTGCTTTTTCCAAGGAGGATCCCTGGAGCGAGTCTGGTCAAGTACTCAAGACCTCTGTGTGCACGCACGCTAGCATTTCACTGGGCGAAGAGAGTCACAGGTCCAGGCTCTGCGGCCATTAGGCAGGAAAGTGGTCCCCCAGGAGGGTCAGGGGAATGCATATTTGCTGAGCAGTAACTCAGACCATCATGCTTCTCTGCCTGTAGAGCCAGGGCTTGAGCTCTGGCATTAATTTTCTTCCCCCCACCTTTTTTAAAAAAAGATTTTATTATCATTTGAGAGAGACAGAGATAGTGAGAGAGAGCGCGAGCAAGGGGAGGGAGAAGCAGACTCCCCACTAAGCAAGGAGCCCAAAGCAGGACCCAGAGACCATGACCTGAGCCGAAGGCAAAGGCAACTTTGTTTGATGTTTGACCAACTGAGCCACCTAGGTGCCCCAACACAATTTTTTTTAATCTTCCAGTTCTGTAGGTCAGAAGTCTGACACAAATCTCAAAAGGCTAAAATCAAGGTGTCAGCAGGGCTGTGTTCTAGAGCAGAGGCTCTAGAGGAAGCTTCTAGAATCTGCATGTATTCCTTGGTGTGTGGCCACTGCTCCACCCCCAGGACAAGGAATGGTAGGTCAAGTCCATCTCCTGTCACCGTGGCTTCCTCTTCTGCCCTCTTCTTCGGCTGTTAAAGGCTCTGGGACCTTGTATCCATCAGGATAATTCAGGGTGATCTTGTTCCAGGTCAGCTGATTAGCGACTTAATTTTAACTGCAATTGTAATTTCTTTTTGTCCTGTAGCATAACACACTAGGGGAGAGGATGTGAACATCTCTAGGGGGCTATTTTCTGCTTACCATAGTCTGCCTTCTGGACTCCAAAGATTCACATCCATCCCACATACAAAACATACTCACCTTGTCCCCCAGTCTCATCCTGTGATAGCATCAACTCAAACCAAAAAATTCTTATCTGAATCTCATCTGCTCAAAGGGCCCCTATCTCATCATCTGAACTAGGTAGAGGGAGGATCTGGGAATAGCTCATCGTGGGGCACAATTTCTTTCCACCTGTGGGTCTAAGAAACTCAATAAACAGGTTACCTGCTCCCAAAATACAATGGTGGGTTGTAC